ATGAATTTTCAAGTCTTACTAAGGGCTAAGGCCTGCTCTTGTTTACAACCTCAAATTCTAGGTGTAGCATCACTGAAGCTTAACAGAATACCCCCAGTAATCAATACAGAAGTTGGACATAGTAACTATCACTAATAAGCTAATCTTTCTTTTTCAAATTACTCTTTTTAGGCTTTAGCAAACATTTTGTGTCTTGTGGTCCCAGCATGTATCATAGGGCAAAAATATTAATTAAAGGATGATTTAAAAAATGTTCAACCAGTGAACTCATGTTCTTTTTAGCAACCAAGACCATTGCATCCTAAATTTTCCTATTTGAGATGTGCAAGATGCAGGTAGCATGAAGCAGCAGGCTCATGGCTCACCTGAATCTTTCTTAGAAGAAATCAGAGAAAGGATTTTACTGCTTTGACCTTCCCAGACTTCTGTCTCTATGACACTTGTTCATGACGTCTCAATAAACAGCAGACTTACACAAATATGCTTTGCTTATGAATATTATGAATCTTTTTCTGAATCTTCTGAGGGAATAGATATTTGATACAGGTGTTGGAATAAACACTGTAAGCCTTTGGTTTCCACCACTGTGGCCAGAAGAGGGTTCAGTGACACCCTTTAGCAAAGAGACTCCCAGTTCTTGCTACTTTCTCTGGGTCCTAAGGTTTAATTTCTCTGAAAGGAGCAGGGATTTCCTCTGAGGATTAGGAGGAAGAAAAAACTCGAGACAGAGATACTATTTCGTTACAATAAAAAGCACAAATGGATGAAAAAGATAACCAAGGGTTGTCTTCTCTTCTGGCAACTGGTTCTTCTTTAGCAACCCTGAAGAAAAGCTCAGCCCCTCCATTTTAGCCGGGTCTGTAAGAGCACAGGCCATAAAGGGAGTTACAAACCTACTACTTGGAGCTGTAGAATTCTATATTTAGATGAAATTGAGACTCTCAGTATTTCTCAATTGACTCCTGCTTCTGTGAGTGTACTGAGCACTCTGATGCCCAGGCCCTTGCTACAGGCATGGGAAAATCGTATGACTCCAGTCACCAGCAGTCTTGGTACCCTCACTAATGCCAGCGCTCTCAGAAGATTCTTGAACTAGATGTTCCTGCACTGGGGTAGACCATTGCTGCATCCTGAAGAGAGGAATTTTACATTCAGCCCTCCTCAGGTCAGTGACTTTTGAAGAACAAGGTTAGGCTAGGCACATGGATCCACACAGAAGTTCCTATTGCACTGGACTTGTATGAGTAGCCTAGAAATTCCCAGGGATTCTTCAATAAAACTATTAAACTATCAAGCAGCAGCTCTTCTCACCCTGACATACCCATATGGGTTTTTTCCACCTGCCTCATTAATTTTTGTTTCTGAATAGAGAGAGAACGAAGTGAGGCAAAGCAAAGACTTAGCCCAACTGTGTAGCTTCATGGCAGAAAATGTGTTAATGAGAAAGACAGTTTTTCTGCTTAAAGTTGCATTTACAAATACATTAGTGGTACCATGTCTAGCACTGCTGACTGTCTTAAAAGGAAATAATTTGGAAGGGATAACGCATTTTGTCTCATATAAGGTTCCTCTGGCGCTCACCAGTAAAATGTGACACCACCAATAAACAATCAAAGATTTTACTATCGTATTATTCAGATGTTTAACTGTAGGTACAATATTAAGTTATAAATACGCTCTGTAACAGATAATAAATGCAGCCTATCAGTCACTGATTAGTTTAGAAACTCTCTTTTTTCTGCAAGATTTAAAATTTCTGGTGAAATTGGTGAGGAGTGTACTCAGCATATCCTGTTAGCTGAGTCAATTGAAATTGCACCTGTTCTTGGATGCAAGTCATAACAAATGCAACCCATATACATTGTAAAGAAAAGGACTTGTATGCACTTTTTCCAATTAACATCTGCCTTTTGGCAAGTCATTAACCTATTTTCTCACAAAGAAACAGCTTCAATTGTATTATGCACCCGAAGCGTGCAAAAGTCCCTGAGGGGGTACTCTGACAAAAACATACTGTTCCTGGATCCAATGCAAACATACATATTCATTAATTGTTTGGGGCAATCAGTACAGAATTTCTGATTTTTACAAGTCTTACAAGGTAAACAGGTTACATAAAGCTACGTCCCAGGAAACAGTCCCATCCCAGTCGCATATTCAATAGAAAAATCAAGAGTGATTTTATGCTATAAAATGGCAATGAAAATAATTCAGCAACACTGTAATAAGACTTCTAGAGAGAAAAAATAACGTTGTTTACCCTAAAAATATGACCGTATATTTATTTATTTAAATAAATACAAATAGAAATGGGAAGTGGTATGTTTCAAATCCCTCATGCTACACAGATCTGTTCAGGACATCCAAAAATGGCAGTGAGAACCTATTCTACCACAATTATTCCTGCCTGAAGATTAATTTAATCAAAATTCTAAACTACAGGTTAAGTTTCTCGCCATAAAGGTGATAATGAAACAATGAATTATTACATCTGTAAAAGCAAGAAATAACAATCCCCCAAGACAAGGCAGTTGTTCATATACATTCACGTCCAGGAACAGGTTTTCCAAAACCCTAAGTCTATAAAAAAGATGTCAACAATAGTAAAAAGTGAATACTGAAGAGTGAAGATTTTTGGAGAATGTACTGGTGTGTTAAAAAATAAATAAATAAATAAATACAAAACCAATCAAGAAATGAAACAACCTTCAAAAAAAATAATAATAAAGAAAACCCAGTATACAGTTTGAGTTGTCGGGTTGGTCCATAAAACACAATGGATTATTGGCATAACTGATGTCTCTGTCTGATTTTGCCCTGGTATCTGAGAAACTATATTAAGATCAAAAGAAAAAGTGAAGTGCCTTAAGGTACAGCATTGCAACATTTTGCCATTTGGTGTTACTTAAGAACCTCTAAATGTGTTCACAAAGAAAATACCTATTGCCATCCAAAATGAAAAACTGAGAAAAATACCTTTATTTCCTCAACATCATAATTTATGTAATACCCAAGATAAAAATTCCATTAAATTCCACTAAACTTTGATGGAAATTACAAAACAAATTTTAGGACACAGTAATAACTGCCGTAATTTCTTTCAATTTGGAAGAGCATTTTTGGTTCAATATGTCTGCAGAAGTACACTGCAAAGAGTTGCTGAGTTACTGCATAGTGCTTTGTTTGACACTAAAGGAATTTGAAGCTGGGTTCCTCCAGAGACAGGCTCCCAGTAATGATGGCAGGAGAGGTTATTCCTGCTGCCACCTTCTCTCACCACACAAACCTTGGGGATCTACTCTGTGTCATTCACACATGGTTGGTTATTCTTTTTAATAAGTAACTGAGCCATTTCTGCAGTAGCAGGCCTGAATGCTGGAAGCAGCCTTTCTCCAACAGGGTGGCCTATTTACATTTACTATCAGAGAGATAATTTAAGTTTCAGGAAAGCTGTACTACATCAGGTACATGGTTCAGCTTCTTTAGAACACACATGGGTTCTCAGTACTTCACTGCAGATATATATATATATCGGTATTCAATATATATTTAATGTATATAATTATATTTATATTTTATATATATATATATAAATTTTGCACCCCATGGTGCAAAAGAACAACTAAGGCTAAATAGCAGTCATTTTCCTCTAGTTTTATAATTCAAATTAGTCACGTCACCAGTTATTTGACAGAGTACCAACCCCAGAGTAAATGTTTCTGAGAGTTCAACCAAGCCTCTTCAGGTGCTTTCAGAGGGAGTTTTCCTATTCTGTAACTTTATTTGAAATTATATGGATCATAAGAACAAGATAACTAGCCTACATCATTGTTTCTTTAAAAAAAATGTCATGTTTGCTGTTTGTGGCTGTGTTTTAGGAGAGCCATCACAACTTGAGGAAAATATACCTGTCCTGTTCTCAACCAACCACGACTAGTTATACAGACATCACAAGTGTCATGCATGTTGAGTTCCAATATCAACAGACATTCCAACAGAATGACAAGAATATGTCTTAATTTCAAGCTGTTATGTTACTTCACCAGATTTACAAACAGCAGGGGAATAAACTGGGTTAAGTAGTAAATGCTCCAGATAATATGTATTGAAAAGGAAGAAGGAACAGTGATAGGAGCTAAAGCAGAAAGGAAAATTTCAGCAGAGACTTTATTAAAAAATACAGAAGTAAAACGAATATCCAAATCTTGTTGATAAATAATCCTGAAAAAGCCTTAAAAAAACCCCTACAGATTTAAAAAATATATATAGTCCACTAAGAGAGAAAAAGAAACAAGCAAAAAATTTTAATAGCTACATGGTTTTGTGTCTTCTAATGGAAACAAGAATAGGAAAAGACCACCAGAGTATTTGCAAATGCAAAATGCAAAGTACATTTGATGTAAACAACAGCATTTAAATAACTGAGTGTGTTATACAGTGTTATAAACAATTGCATAATCAAAGGTCAGGCTGAAATATATAAGATCATTCTTTCACAAAAAATCTGTGGCCTGGATGCTGCATAAAAATAACTGCATCCAAAATTTTTATAACAGACTACTTGTTTGCCATAAACAGTAGTACTTATGACTGAGCTGAAAATATGTAGTACCTGTTGGTAAAATTCAGAGTTCACCAAGGAAGTGAGGTGATGAAAAGTTATACAAGAAAAATTGACTGTACGTTTCTGTGGCTTGAACTGCAATAGTATTTGCACAGTGAGCTTCCATACCTAAGCTGAACTCCATTGATGTCAATGAGGTTCAGCCTGGAAAATGAGCTTTATCTATCTACAGTAAGTTGCAGAATTGGATTAAAATATTCCCCCCATTTAAACTGTCCCATTTTTCAACATACATGTGAAGTTGCCGAAATTGGATGCCTACCTAGTTTTGAATGTGGATTTACAACAGGTGTTCTGTAATTGCCATTTAAAAAAACAATACATAGACATAAGGAAAATAGATGTTTTCCGATTAAAAAAAAAACGTAAAATCATCTAAAAATTGCATTTTTATTAAAAGTAAACCCCAAATCAACATACACTGCAAAATCTTTCCTGACTTATGTCTGCACTCATGGGACACTCATAGCATGTAAAGCTTGAGCATATGTGGACTTTCTTGTAGGGCAAGAATCTTTTGTATTTATGACCTAGATTTTTTATGATTTTGTGTTTGACTCAAATATATTCTTCAGAAGAATGAAGCTGATTTTTCTAAATATGAAAAATTAATTTTGATGAGAATGAGATAAGCAAAAGGGCTCGAATGCATCAGTCTTGCAGCTGAATTCACACAGATGCTTCAAAGTGTGACTTAATTTTCATATTTGTGACTGTTTTCATACTACCTCTTCTTGCATTCATTATTAAAATGTTTAGAAGATGTAGAATAACTCAATACTTTCTGGTAAAATACTTGAGAGTATGTAAGGGACAAAGAAAACCTCTGGTATTTTTGGAATTAGGTCATATTTAATTTACATGTTGGAGTAATGTTGCCTTAGCACAAAGAACATTATTTTCACAACCCTTGCTCAACCTTAAAAACCTGCATAGTGGAAGTGGACTTCCATAATAACTGCTATTCATGTAAAAATATGGAGTTAGTGGTTTAGTTATATTCAAAAATCTTGTTAGGTTGAAATAAGAGTCCTGTAACAGTCAATGGAAATTGTTTTAGAAAATATTACGTTTTGATTGTGCTACAATTCATTAAATATATAACCAGAATATCAGCTTGCCACCACTGTTTAATTTTTTTTTAATTTCTTCAGTTTTTATTACATTGATTTGATGCTTTTGCTTATAGTAAAATCCAGTGCAGAAACATATTCACCAATATAGTTAATTTTCAGCTTTTATTTGTCCTGTCTTCCCTGAAGTAATGTTTGCTGATCTTCTAAGCATTCTTTCAATTTATCTTCAGCTGAAGTCAGTCGGTGTTCCAAGACTGAAACTGTCTGCGTGAAGAGGACAGTAATTTCAGCTGGTTTTATATTACTCACACAGTATTATAAAAGTGTGAAACATAATAACATAAGAAAACTAATTTTACCTCAGTAGGGAAAAAAAAATCCTAAAATGGCTTCTCCTTAGCTATTCCACTATTTATAACTGTATTTAAAAATTAAGGCTTGGTATCCATGGAGATTGTCTAAAGGTTTCTAATTGTTTTCACAAAATACTTTCTCTGAGAGAAAGAAATACATACATAAATACATAATATAAATGACTATGAAATACTCTGAAAGTTTCTTCCATATTTCAGTAGTAAAACAGTCATCACTGGTGACCTCAAATGATATTTTCAAAAAACCTAAAAGAAACTTTTAAGGCATCCCCAAAAAAAGGAAGTGAGAAAAAAAATATACTATTAAAAGGCATTCTCTAAGAGACTATCTTCATCAGAAAAGGTAATTTTTTGGACCCAGGTTGGCAGTTTCTTTTTAATCCAGCTTACCACACAAATAATTTTCAACTGATGACTTGACTCCATACTTCCAAAAACCTATTTCTTCAATTAACATAAATATTGCAAAAGAGCACAGAACAAAAAAAAACCCTTAGCTGCTTCCTTTTGATTTGGCTTAATGTTAATATATTACAGACTACAGAGTAGTATCATAAAACATGGGCTGACTAAATCTGTTATTACTAAAAAGTATTGAGCATTTGCAAACAAGTGACTCAGAGTCACTGAAACTAGTATTTGTGCAGTTTCACTGACACTAGGAATTATTCCACTTCTTAGATTCCTACCTAAGCCAACACCTTGAGCACTAAGTTTGAAAAGGGATTTAATGGTACACTGGTAATTTACTTTGTTCATCCCCTGCTAGTACATGATTGTTCAAGTTGGAATCTGACAATGTCTGCTAAACAACTGGCTTCTGACAAATCTATGCTAGATTTCACTACTGAAAAATAGTGATTCTCTTCCTCCAGAGTTAAAAGTGGAACAATCTTTACGATTATGTATCAGGAAGCTTTTCACTTTAGCAAACACAACACATGCAATCAACATTTGCTGAAAGGAAAACACCAAAACAGTCACTTGATTATACAACTATTCAAAATAACCCCATAGTCTTTTATGTTCCGATTTATTAACATGGTTCCTGGTTTTTTTTGCCCACTGACAGCATTGTCATTTTCCACTGCAAGTGTTATCTGTTATTGCATACTTACTAGAGTTAACACATCCAGCTGCCCCACAATGTGTTCCAAAGCACTGTCCAGGGAGGGGGAGATGCCTGTTTGCTTGTCCTCCTTACACACAGCTGATCTGCTCTCATTCTCTGATTTCCTTTTCGAACTTCTTGCCAAGACTGAAGCAGGGGGCCGATGCAGCTCTCCAGTTTTGCCATCGACCTTTAACACAGAAACACCATTTGAAGATTCAGTTGGCTTTGTCCTCATTTAAGTAGAACCATCCAATAAGATAGGTAGAAAAGTCTGGCTTCTAATTTAATAAACAAAAAAATAAAATTAATCTATTTACACATATATGCACACACACAAGGGCCTTCAGATTTGCTTTTTGTACCAGGTCCAATTCATAACACCTCAATTTGTTCTGACCTAAGAGAGAATTCCAGCTGTGATGGATGAGGCAATAAGGGAAATTTCAGCAGCCTTTAAGTACACGTTTCAGGTACATATGATTGATGAACTACATGCTGTAGCACTAGAGCTTGAATTAAAGCTTGAATAAATACAATTGCTGAGGGGTGTCTTCTTCAAAAAGATAGCTCAAGTTGACAAAGGAATTCACTCAGAGCAGTCATATGGATGAAAAATCTGTATGTGACTAGAAGATCGCAAGGGTTCCTTCCAACTTCGTAGTATGAAACCTTTGTTTAGTATGAATTAATCTCTTATTTCAGCATAAAAAGTAGTTTTTAGTTGTTTATTCAGTGACATTACCTTTTGAGAAACTGATACCTTCAGAAAATGGGAGAAGGAAACAACAGAAAAGACCCACACAACCTAAAGTTGAGAGAAATAACTTTGATGTATAAACATTGCTCCAGGGTGACAGAGCCTGATCTTTCCAATCACTTTGGTTTTGTCTGTGCCTTGAAGTTCTTAACGACATTTTTGAGTCATGAAAGGTTAAATCATCACTAATTCATTAGAAGCTCCCTCACAACTTTACCTGATTTATTACTGACTTTTTGAGATTTCTTTGAAAACTTCTTCTACCTTCAGATAATTTTACTTTATTTTTACACTGAAGTAAATTGAGGTAGTTAATATTTATTTCTAATTATATTAGAAATATCCACATTTACAAAATAACTCTTTTAAATGCTTCTTCCCTCACCACCCTGGGCTTCCCTCAACAGATCCAGACTGCAACCATCACTTTGACAAGACTGGGACTTTCACCACCAGGGAGACCACAAGAAGAAGATCAATGGGACCATCAGAATCCATGGAGTGATTACATTTTTTCTACTTAATCTGTGTCTCTGTCAGTCTCCTTCTCTCCCCTCACTCTCCGTTTTCATCTCTTTGCATCTCTCTTTACCTCACATTTACTGTACTAAATAAAATCTGTACTATTGACTCTGGCATATGGTCTTGTTTGCACCTTAATTTGGGCAGAGACATCTCTCTAATAAGAACCTGATCATAACAACATCAGTGAGAGAAAGCAAAGCAAGTCTACCTGGAATGGCTTTTTGTTTTACTTTCAGAACACAGGAGCAATAGAAGATCATGAGTCTAGGGTGTGGAATGGCTGAAAGCAGAGACTGTGAGGTAAGAGGGCAAAGAAGAAAGTCTTACTGCCCTCTCTGTGTTAAAAGTTCCACTGTGCAGTTAAGTTCTGAACTGAATTCTGAACTTTCAAAATTTGTAAGAGGGAAATGAAATGAAACCATTTCAAATTTTCAACTTATCTAACTTGTGTCCAAACAAATCAGATTTCCTTTACCTTTGCATACCAATCAGTTCATGTCCAACAGTTTTATCCAGGATAATATTTTATTTTTAAAAAGTTATTTTTATAGAAAGTTTTTCTATCCACACAATATTTCACATGAAGTGTTTCAAGAACTAGATGTTGCCTTTCCTTCATATTACCCTCTCTCTAAAGTACTTTAAATACTTGGAATACAATTCATAAACAACAATTCTATATGTTGCCAGCAATGTAGTAAAAATGTAGTAATTCAAAAAACCAAACTATTCTGAGAGACATCAGAGCTATAGCTTATTTTGAGAGAATAAATTTTTATAAGACAATCAATTTTAAATTGTTACTTCTGAGCAAAGCTAAGAAGAAAATTAAAATGTGCACAGTGTTTCCATTCACAGCCCGTTAGTAATAACATGAACTCATATTTGGGCAACTCCATGCACGTTACAAGTAAGAAGGAGAAGGAACAGATTTAATAAATCAATAGGAAGTCATTACCATGACATTACCAGCGGATGTTGAGCAGAAAATTAAATTTAGCTTATAAATGATGTCACAAACAGCAAGCCATAATTGCTCATCTTTGTTTTCTGTCAAGCAAAATAGCCAAAACTCTGTGGGTGGTACTTGATCAATTTGTGAAAAATCCTTACACATAACCTTATCACCACCTCTGCCTGTTCCCAAATGCTTTCCCATGAAACATTCACAGAGCAGACAGAAACAAACACTGCATCCCAGTCTCCCTTTGCTTCATGATAGTTAAGAATAGAATCAGAGTAAATTGCATCCATGTATATAGAGATGCCTGAGTAGTTTTATTTATAGAGATAAAAAATTCCCTCAAGGGAAAAAAAAAAGGAAAAAATACAAATCTCTGTCACTCAACTGGATATCAACAGTCTTCAATCTTCTAAGAGCTACAAATTTGGAAAATACAGACAACAGCTTCCAAATGCATATCTAAATGATCTCATAATTAAGATGGGCTTATACGAAAAAGTGATACTGGTAAGCTTCCAAATGAATCACAAAAATTGGCATGGTCTGCTTTTTAAAAATAATCGTTTAAATTGTGAACACATGGTACATTTGTCTACTAACGCTAAAACATTTCTGATACTGTGATTAAAACAACTACAAACAATTAGTCATAAGTAGGGCATGAACCTCAGACTGAAGAGCAAAGGCATAACAGAGGAGTCTCCCACCTTATCAGACCTTGATTTCCCGTGTCTTTTGGTTATTTGAAATCATGGGAAGTTTCTCAGAACTAATAGTACTATGATTATTACTGCTTTTTTCCTCCTCTTATGAACCTACCCTCAAACAAAAACGGTTCACTGTCGATATGCTAAATTTAACTGTTCAGGATTTGGTTTTTTTCTCTGTTTTTGGTTGGTTGGTTGTTTTGTTGTTGTTTTTGTAGGCCATAATTATTGACACATCACTTCTATTGCTTTGAAATTATTTTTTCAGTCAGGGAGTGGCTCACATTAAACAGAGCTCTCTAGTCTATTAGGCTAGAACTAAGTAGGTTTTAACACTAAGTATGTTAAACCGCTTTTTGTTTTATCAGTTCCTACGGAGGAGAACTTCCCTGTAGTTTCAGCTGATGACAGCACTCTTCATTTCCTCTCCTCTTGCATGCACATGAATCAGCACAGCAACAACCTGCCAAGTGCCAACTGTGGCTTTCTGCCCCTGCTATCTGATGAGGTAGTTCTGGTATCATTTATTTGCAAACTTCAATTGAGGTTTTGCATTCAAGCGGCAAAATACAGATAAACTACCTGGTGCATCTAAAACAAAGTTCTACTAAGCATTTCTAGTTCGAGCAGCCCTCTTTCAGAACTTGTAACATGGAATTTTGCACTTAATTAAAAGACTTTCATTTCATCTTATGCACTTGAGTCTTGCCCAGCTCTTAAAAGAATGCCTAAGCTAAACTCAAAAATTTAAAGCACTTAATGTAAGTGCACCACATCCAGTCTGACTCAGAAACACCATGAGGCACCACTGAAGGTAGCACACCCTTCAGTTTAGAACCTGACCACCCTAGTGGTATCAGGATACAAACTCAAGACAACAAACCAAGCCAGACTATCAGACTGTAATCTTTAGCAAACCAGGCATTTTCAGCTAAAATGGAACAGCACTTCAGGTCTTGAATACAACAAATTCAGCCTGACACTAACTGATTTTATAGAGGCCACAAGGCCAGTACAGTACAATGAAAACTAGTTGCTAACTTTGGTGGGTTTTTTTATATTATTATCTGTACAAAATTGACTGAAACCCTGATACACGTACAGTTATGGTCTGATTAATCAGATTTATTAATTTATTTTATCAGGATTTCTATATTAAATTTAGTGTTGCTATGATGGCATGAAAACTCTTCTCTTCTGAGGTCCATCTCAAGATATCCTTAATAGATAGTTTTATGCAAAGAAATTATATCATACTTTACAACAGTTCTTTCACATGCATAATGAGAAACTGGCTACATGGTTTTCTTATATCAGCTTTTTCCCAGAGTGCTGCTCAAGGTCTGAGAAAACACTGAAAAACAGAGTGCATTCAATACTCTTAGTATTTTGCAATTCCACATATACGGAATCTAGTACAGAACAAAAATATTTTCTCCATATTCCATTCATTTCAAGAAAGAACAGAAAAAGAACCAAAAATAAGCCTTGTTTGTTCCCAGAAACATAGAAAATATTTCTATTTCCCTAATGAAAACTCACAGAAGTCCACAAATATTTGAGTTAATCCAATTAGAAATAAATAATATTTCTGAATTTGTTTTCTAAACTCTCAGATCATCAGTAATAAGCTTTACTTAAAACCAGGTCATTTTCTCCTTTTAGTTTGCTCGTTGATGTTAATTTCTAATAACAATACATCCTTGCATCAGTTTAAGCTTTTAGAAAATCTAAATATTCTCCCCAAAAAACAAGCAATACTGCCGAAATATTAATAATTGATAATTAAAAACAAAACAAAACCCAAACAAACCAAAACCCAACCCAAAGCATGTCATGAACATACAACACAAACTAGATAGAAATCGTTGGAGGTTCAATTGCCAAAGGTAACAATCTCCTGCCAGTAAGTCAATTCTAAAATAACAGTTCAGGAACACCATATTCAAACACTTTTGTAAATTATAAAATTTCTTGCACCACAGGCACTAAAAACCAGCAATACAGCCTATGGAAAAAAAGCAAAGGCAGGCAATAAATTACTTTCAGTATATCTTCAGCTTCAGCAAGAAGCTTTGCAAAGCAAAGGACAGATAACATGAAACTATAGAAGCATTTCCACTACTTACAATTACAAAATAAAGTAGCCAGTTTTAATTTAGGCATATTACTTTGGACTGCGTGTGTATATACCCAAAGGAACATCTTATAGCTGAAATCAAGGCAAAAGTTTC